AACTGTCTAATAATTGTGCCCCTCTGGTGTCAATTTTATTAGACCAGTTGGTGTGTGTGCATTAAAATCTCCTCCAATGACACATTTGCGTGGGCAAAGGTCGAATATGTTATTCCAGTCAGTTGAAGATGTTCTAACAGAAGATGGGCAGTAAATAGATAAAACATTTTCAAGATACTTACAATTGAAGATTTTGACATAAACTACTTCTAAACCAGTATTGCTTGTACTTATTGAATATTGATGCGCCTTAATTGATTTATGTGTCATTATAGCCACACCACCATATAAATCGCATCTATCTTTCCTAAAAATGTTATATTCACTTATTCCTAGAGGCGAGCTCTCAGCCAACCACGTTTCACTCACGATTGCTATATGTATTTTTTCTTGTATCAACAGGGATTCAAAATTAACTATTTTGGGCTTAATACTTTGTGCATTCCACTGGAGTATAGACAGCGTAAAATCCTTTAATGTGTTATCCATTAACTACATTTAAAAGTTTATTTAATATTTCTTTTTCCATTATAAGATTCATAAAGATTATTTTCAACTCTCTAGTTACTAACTTAACAATATCGATAATCTTTTCTTCTACTTTGCTTTCAGAGAACAGAATTTCTTTTACCCTTTTAATAATTACCCATATCTTAGATATCTTTTGTTTCTCCTCTTGTTTTTCTGTACATGCGTCAGTTTCCATTCTTGTCACTTCTTCATTATTTAATGTAGCTGACTCGGTTGCAACAATGGACTTTTTTTGCTTTGAATGTTTAACGTTATAATTAGGAACTTTTTTAATATGTTTATTTTTAATGTTTTTGTAAGTTGCTTGTTCTTTACTGGTATCCTCTTCTCCTCTTTCGCTATCTGATAAGTTTTGATTTATGTAGTTATTTGTTAGAAGTATATCTCTATATGATTTCGTATAATCAGCACTTGGTACTTTATCAGCCTTTTGAACTTTATTCATAGATGTTGGGCTATCCATAGTTTGTTTTGTCTGTTTTAAGTAAATATCCAGTGCTTTTCTGTAGCTAAAATGTTGACTCATGATGTTACGAATACTCTTTTCCTTAATAAAAATAGGGCTGCTTTATCAAGTGCCATATGTGCGCCTTTACAGTTTACACATTTGTATTCAATAGTTTCGCAATTTGTATGTCTGTCTCCACACTTAGGACATAAAATCTTTTTATTCGGGCAAAATTTTATGTAATGTCCAAAACTCCAGCATCCAGAACATTGCGTGACTGGAAAGTGATAGATTTCGACCTTGAATCTGCATCCATATCCATACACATATGAAGGCGGTTGTTCACTTTTGAATGTCAAACGAAATGTTTCGCTGTCTGTCCACTTACCATTTATATCTAAGCGCTTGAGACTTTTCACAGACGAAATTTCACATGATGAGGACAAATTTTCTAAAAATTTCTTGTTCTTCAATTCCTATATCAATTCCTTTTACAACTCCAAAAGATAAGTGTGTCTCATTCACAATACGACAATGATAACCCAAATCTAAAATATTTTTACAGTTTATTAGCTGATAAGCATCTTCAAACTTTTGGAATTGAACCAAAACCTTATACGGGCTTTTATACCGAATTTTCATAATGTTAATAATATTTTCTGACTTAAGTAGTTTGGCCAAACCTACACTCACCGGCACGGAAACTTGGCCACTCGTGAATTTGCTGATTATTTGCACTGAAACGTTTTTTTAACAGTAAATTAAGGGTAGATGCATTCAATAAGTGTCTCTAATGGTTTTAGAACATAGAAATTTAATGTTTACTTCACCGAAATTTTTCTTTTCAAGATAACATGTTTTCACTAAAATTAACATCTTTCCATTGTCACTTTAAAAACACTACAAAGTTAAAAATTAAGTCTGTTTCTTTATTGTCTATCAGTTTTAATATCGGGTGTTTCCTCCTCTAGCCCTGATAACCGCTTGCATTCGATCTGGCATGCTTTGAATGATGTTTCTGACATCAACTTGCGGTATGCTGTCCCAAGCGGCCAGCGCTGCGTTTCGGAGCTCATTTAGAGTTTGTGGCAGTTTGGAGCTGGACTTTATCTTTCTTTTGAGCATACCCCATACATGCTCAATTGGATTTAAGTCCGGGCTACGAGCTGGCCACTGTAATTTTTGTATTCCAACCTCTTCCAGATATTCCTCTACACAATGTGCGACGTGCGGGCGTGCATTATCGTGCATGAGGAGGAATTGGTCGTGTCCAATGAATCCCGAATAAGGCATTACGTGCTCCTGAAGAACTTCCTCGATGTATCGAGTAGCTGTAAGCCGATTATCGACGATGACCAACTCTGTACGTGCGTCGGAACTTACACCTCCCCATACCATTATTGAGCCTCCATGGAAACTCACAGTTTGGGTGGTGGTAATGGGTAGAAACCTCTCTCCTCTTTTTCTCCACACTCGTTCTCGACCGTCTGGAGCACGTAAAGCTATTCGACACTCATCTGTGAACAACACTCTAGCCCATTGCTCGTGGGTCCAATTGACATGTTCTCTTGCGAACTGAAGTCGGGCTACTCGGTGCTGTCTGAGAAGTTTTGGACCTCGTGCTGGTCTACGAGCTTTTAAATTCACTTCCTCCATTCGTCTTCTCACCGTACGCTCACTAACATTAACGCCTCTTGCGATTTGGAGCCGCTGGCGTATCTCAACAGCGGTCAGGTAGCGGTTTCTCAAAATCTCCATAACAATAAAACGATCGTCCTGGGCTGATGTGCACCTTACGCCCCCACTGTCTGGCCTGCGGGTGTAGCGGCCTGTCTCCTGGTATCGTTTCAGTGAATACTGCATTGAGGACCGTGGTACGTTAAGCACAATAGCAACTTCACGCTGTGTCAGCCTTTGGTCAATTAATGCTACTGCTTGTGCAACTTGTGCTGGTGTTAATGGCATTTTTATTGGCTTTAAAGCACCTTTAGTTATTTAATTAAGACACAAGATCACAATAATTGAATAACCTTACAGTAAACTTTCCACAACACACAAATTTAAAATGTGAACTTAGTCGCTCAAATGACCCGATTCAACTAAAAATTAAAGAATTCGTCATGGTGCACTTAAACATAATGAATTACCCTCTTGAACTTGAGGGTAAACATTTTTTGACATACTTGCATAACAAACATTCATCAGAAACACTTAAAGCTTTTGCTATCGCGAGATAACCGCTTGGCCAAGTTTCCGTGCCGGTGAGTGTATTTGTTTAGGAAGGCATTGTAGAGATGTAATACAAACTTCATAATATTCTTCTAAGCGTTGCATTTCTAACGGCGTTGACAATGCGTCAATGAGTTGATTATTGTCTGCACTTTTTGTTAAATCACTCCTAATACGACATTTTGGTTTTCTCCTTGTAACTGTTGTAAAACTCTCTTCACTGTTATCTTCGCCACTGTTCTCCGAATTTTTTCTTTTTTCCGCTGACCTAATTTTATGTTGGGTTACCAACTTATTTCTCTCTAGAAATTTGGAATTTTCACATTCATGTTCACAATCGCTTACACGTTTACAATCACTTTGGTCACTATTCCCAAAGTTACCATTGTCTTCCTCATTACCTACTTCCATGGTACAGAAATTAGTTTAAAAGAAGAATAAAAAAACAGCGATTCACACGAATAAAACGCTGAAAAATTAAATTTTTTGGAAAAAATTTATCAAACACTTGTGACAGCTAATCACCATGACAAACGTTCTGATTATTAGATTATTATTAAAATTGTATAAAAGGGCGCTGTGACGATATAGTCAGTTGTTTTGTAACCGCCAGTAAGTAAAGGTGTGAGGGGTAACTGTCAGTTTGTGAAAGTGATTACAAAGTAATATATATATACCAAGTAAAAATATCGTTTATCTGCGGTTAGTCGTACCTAGTCTATCCGCCATCCAAATATGCGAGTTGAAAAGACGGTTTCAAGGCACAGTGGCTTAGCAATAAGTAGCATCACTGACACGGAATATAACCACATGTAATTTCTTTTTAGCATATTTTTTATTTATGTGACTAAATATGGACAAAATATCAAGTTACCTTAATTAGAAGTAATATACAAAAATTTAGATAAACGCGAAACAACTAAATACAATGAATGCAAAAATAAACATATTGATAAGTAATATTCAACCTTGTTTCCTCGGTTTAAGGTTCATCTGTTAATATAATTTGAATAAAGATTACTGCGATAGTGTTGTGACTACGCCGATAGTAAAGTATTTTTATCCACAAACATATTTAATGATAATTTGAAAACACTGGATGTCTATGAAAATTTAGGAAATTATAGTGTAGTTAAGTATATATCCTAAGTATCAGCCGGAGAGAACACCTGCATCTCGATCAAAAAGAGCAAGACCGGCTTCACCGTCTCCAGATGGTAGTAGACTGCTTTAAGGTTCGAGTGATGTTTCCTGATGTTGCCGAAGTCCACGGCTAGTGGGGCAGGGGTTGCTATGGTTTTATAGCTCTATTTGCCCTGTGCAGCTGGGTAGTCCTTTATTTTTAAGTTCCGCTACCATGCTGCGCGGGGTTTGGACCTTCAGCCACCGACAACAACCGAGAGAAATACAGAAACAAAGCTTCTACTTTATGCTGGTATTGTGAGGTTGTGGTACTTCCCCGGTTCAAGAAAGCCCATTTGTGCAACAGCCAAGGCTGCCGCGTGACTATAGCACTGTTAATATCCCCGAGGACTAAAAGGTATTGCCTAAATATCTAGATGTATTCTATAATTATACTATCTTTCTCATCCTTCAAACCCAAATACAGCATAGCAACCAACACAATACCCGTCAACCCAATAGAGACTCCTAGGCTCCTACCAGAAAAGAATCATTTAGGAAACTGTACATATGTTCTAAAACTATATTGTCGGTTCTTTGATAATGCAGCTGACTGATCTATTTAATAGGGCCATTAAATAAATTAGGATGCATTAGGAGCTTTTATTACCTTATACTGTCATCTTTCCTGGCCTCCTTGTACTTAACAGTGCGGCTCTTGCGGATAACCATTACAGTCCCATCTGGGTTCAACTTGGGAAGATTCTGAGAAGGTACTGCATCTTTACTCAAGGTTTTCCATTGGCCTGAAAATCAAAATGTTTACAAATATAATAGTACCAACCCTTATGACAATAGTAAAATCTTCAATCAGTCTAATAATCAATATATTATATACACCAATATATTATATACAAATAAAAAATGAAATACACTGGTATTCCAGGTCTGTATCGATCGGGGCGGTGGCGGTGTTGCTATTTATCTGCGCACCTTTTTCAAAGAGACATGATTTAAAAGCTCTAATTTGTAGCATAGTATTGAGCATCGACATATTAGCAAAGTATTGAATATCGACCATCAAAAAAATATTTTTATCTCACAAATATCCTATACTTTAATAATGATAAAATACATTTTCGTTATATGCCTTTCATGTGATGAAAAAAATTGACATAATTGAATTATCTACCGAAAAAGTTTCTATACAAGCCCCAATATCTCGTTCTACATCAATTTGACGTAAAATTTATATCAAAATAAACATCAACATTTGCTTAAACTATACTATGATTTTTACTTTTTAAATCGTTATTTTTTAATTAATAAAATAAAAGTACCATATATTTCACTACGTCGACCATCTGAATTCACTACCGTGCCTGCGGCTCTCGAGGTCGGACCTTTGTCAAATTATTTCGCGCGCTCTGTCTCGTTTCGATATATATATGTAGTGTTCGTCGATGACCATGGCGCTGCTATTTTGTGCTAGAGCATCGTCAAACTCGCCCGCAATTTTTAATCGTTGAAAGTATTTACTTTCGTACAGTATATTTCAATTAGTATACAGTTCGCACATTATTATTATACCGGATAGAGTTAATTCATTATAGTTATTTTGATTGTAGCTAAACTTTATAACCAGTTGGAATGAGGTAAAATAAATACAAGTATCAATGTGTCACTAAACGTAAAAAAGAAATATCCTATCTTTGGACAAAAAATAATGGTGAATAAAAATATCTGCATGCTTGCCATATTGACTGGCCCAGATTATGCAGTAAAAGTACTAAAAATCTACAAAGACGACATATTTTGGATTTTGAATATGTTACCCAAGTTACGAGCGTTTTGTAAAAAGTGTGTACTGCCTGAAATTATTGACTCGAGAGAAGCCCGGTCAATGCCATTGCGGCTAATATTTTTATAATAAAAATATGGTAATTGACTGTAAGTACCAATAAAAAAACATTAGTTACAGTTGGTTATTTTATTTATTAAAACAGGTTGTAACCGTTAGTAGATATAATCGATAATTAACCAATATCGGTTAAAAATGGATTACTGTGAAACCACAGATTATTATTAGGTAATCTGTGTGTGAAACCATTAAAATATTTATGTGTACTTATTTCAACACTAAGGTTCATAAATAATGAAAAATATATCAAAATGATACATCAAAAATTTTCCATCCACTGAACTCCAATCCAAAGAAAACTTGTATAATGAAAGATCAAGATCGTTAAGTATACTCACAGGATCATAGTGCGAGCAAGTGAATAGATATTATGAAATAAAGTATCGATCGCGTAGGTAGTCGCCGCTCGGAGCGTAAAATACCTAAATTTGCGTAAAGCCGAAATGTAAGAGCACTCTTAATTTATTATAATTTTACATGTCTTACAACTTAACCACCCTTTCCGAGTATTAGATTATTTGTTATATTTTATAGGCCTCTGCCTAACATAAGTTACGTACTGGATTAAAGTTATGAAATAATGTTGTTAGATTAAACAATTAATTAAAATTATAAAAAAGTATTTTTAAATGACAATAATAAACAAAGAATACATTTAGCTTTACTGTAGAGTATTTTAGGCTTGGTATTAAATATGTTTTTTTATCTATTATTAAATGGATGCAATTTCTATTCATTTCTGATATAGAGAGGTAATTTAATAAAATATTTAACTGCCATATAGCATAGGCTGCCTTTTAGAAATTAATCTGCCAAGCCACTCCAGTTCCAGTAACCAGCTTGTTTAGGGAGGCTGGAAGTTGTCTAGTATGTGTAAATAACAATATTTGTAAGCAATTATCTCACACACAATTCTTAACAACTGCTTACAAATATTGTTATTTACATAGTTACAGTTTTTATTCCTAGTTTGGCAACTTCCAATGTATTCTGCCAGCGTCAAGTTTCATAAAAGTCACACAGAGTATTCGACTAGTTTCCGTTTCCGTAGAAATGCTTACTTAGCTTTATGATATGAAGTTATATAGGTAGTTATTTTCGATTGAATTAACATATAATAGTTTTACAAAATTATTGCTAATATAATAAATAATATAATGGATATAGGTAAGTGGTAAAAGTACTATAGTTTAATGATATTAATGGATATAAAATCTAATAAAGTTTGTACAAAAGGAGTGCAAACTAAATTTAACAAAGACTTTTGATTTATAGGACGAGGGATGTTATTAGGAAGGAAATTGTATAGTGAAACGGAGAGGTCAGGGCAGTTAAAAATATGATGTGCAGAATGATTGAAGGGGCAAATGAAGAAGAACAAAGAATGGCTAATACAGTTTCAACTTGTTGTTTACAGTTGTATACATACTATAACTACTATTAATTTTCTTTATTTAATTTAAACTAAGAAATAAAATAATATTAATTATTTCCCACTATTACTATGCATGTTTGAATGCAAGCTTTTCTTTACTTATATTTTTTGTTTTAGCTTCGTTCTGAAGTTGAAGCTTGTGTGCCATGTTGGCTAAGAGGTAGAAGAACTAGGACTGCTCCATTAGTAGATCATATACAACCCCCTTCACCTGATCATGTGGATGGTGATCATTCTCTTTTAACGTGTGCTGTATGTGGTCAAACTGTGTCCACCAAAACATCAGATGAAGAGTGGAATCTCGACAACACTGCCTGTTGGAGTACCAGCAGGTATATATGAAACGGAGCAACAAGACCAAGGCGACCCTTGCCACGCTGTCCGTGAATTTCTGCAATATCAGGGGACTTGCACTCTAACCTAAACGCCGTCCACTACCATCTCGAGACGGCGAGGCCGGCTCTGCTCTTTCTGACCGAGACGCAGGTGTCCTCTCCGGCTGGTGTCTCGTATCTCTCCTACCCGGGGTACAAACTGGAACACTCCTTTGTGCCTCGGGCTGGTGTTTGCGTTTACGTCAGAGGACATCTGTTCTCGACGCCTCGGCAGACTTGAAGGTTCGGACCTGTCCATTCTGTGGCTAGGCGTAGACAGCGACGATCATCCTCGCGTCTACGGGTGCCTCTATAGGTCCCATAGCGGTAATGCCGAAACAGACCGACTCTTCGACCACGTCCAAATGGCTACAGATTCGTTGCTACAGCAGATCCCCTCCGCAGAGATCGTGATCCTCGGCGACTTTAACGCTCATCACGCCGAATGGCTTGGTTCACGTTTAACTGATCATGCGGGGAGATCTGTTCATGATTTTGCCTTGGCATATGGTCTGACAACTGGTTACTTTGCCTACGCGGATTCCAGATGTGGAGGATCATGCACCTTCCCTGTTGGACCTTCTGCTGACGTCTCACCCGGACGGATATCAGATTTCCGTCGAAGCCCCTTTAGGCTCCTCGGACCATTGTCTTGTCCGGAGTCAGGTGCCACTCACGCTGAAATCGCAGTCGCATTCTGCAGGCTGCCGCCGTGTTTGGCACTATAGGTCAGCCGATTGGGATGGGATGCAGGTTTGCTTCTCGCCGGACGATCCCAACGTTGTTGCGGATTCTGTCGCTGATGTGGTACTTCAGGGTATGGAACTTTTTATTCCTTCCTCTGTGGTGCCCATTGGAGGCAAATCTCAGCCATGGTTTGGTCGCTCCTGTAAAATAGCATCATGCTATAAGCAGGAGTGCTACCGAGCCTGGGCTGACGCATCAGCGTCCCGGGATGTAAACACCAGCGCTATAAAAAAAGAAGTATAATTCCGCCTCTAGGTCCTTCAAAAGAGTCATTGCTAAAGCAAAGTCAGAGCACATAGGCAGAATTGGCGAGAAACTAGTTCGCTTTCCTTCTGGAACTCGTGCATTCTGGTCTCTCGCCAAGGCTGTCCAGGGGAATTTCTGTCAGCCATCTCTTCCATCTCTGCACAGGGAGGACGACTCACTGGCCCATACCGCAAAGGAGAAAGCCGATCTTCTGGGCTCTTTCTTTGCGTCCAACTCGACTCTCGATGACGGGGGGAGTACGCCGCCGACCATCCCGCGGTGTGAGTGCTCCATGCGGGAAATGCAGTTCACACAGCGCTCGGTTCGCAAAGCACTCCTTTCCCTGGACATCCACAAGTTGAGTGGGCCTGACGGAATCCCCCCAATTGTGCTGAGGACGTGTGCTCCAGAGTTGGCATCGGTTTTAACGCGTCTTTTCCGGTACCTACTCCTACTCCCTAGGCGTAGTCCCAAAATCATGAAAGACGGCTTTCGTCCACCCGATCCCAAAAAAGGGCGACCGCTCAGACCCGTCCAACTACCGGCTTATCGCCATCACCTTCTTGTTCTCCAAAACAATGGAGTCCATTGTAAACTGCCAGCTCATGAGGTACCTTGAGGATCACCAGCTGATTAGTGACCGCCAATACGGTTTTCGCAGTGGTCGGTCAGCTGGTGATCTTCTGGTCTACCTAACTCACAGATGGGCGGAGGCAGTAGAGTCCAAAGGGGAGGCATTGGCCGTTAGTTTGGACATTGCGAAGGCCTTCGATCGGGTTTGGCACAAAGCGCTTCTTTCGAAGCTCCTTTCCTATGGGCTTCCCGAGAAATTTTGCGATTGGATCACCAGCTTTCTTGCAGATCGGAACATCAAGGTCGTTGTAGACGGTGCAAGCTCCGATTGCAAGCCTATTAATGCTGGTGTTCCACAAGGCTGCGTGCCATCGCCAACGCTGTTTCTTCTGCATATCAATGATATGTTGCAAACCCGTAACATGCAGATGCATAGCAATGAATGTTATGCAGATGCCGGTGTAAAGAGATGAATGTTATGCAGATGCCGGTGTAAAGAGATGAATGTTA